TTTCATGGGTATCGTAGCCCCATATTTCTCTTTCGAATGGTGAAAACCGCACCTCTCTATCTATCACCGTTCCGGAGCTATAAGGTCAACACTGACCGGCCATTCTATTTTGAAATGGATAGTAGAATGGCCAACAGATCGTGATACGATAAATTATTATTATTATTCAGAGTTATACAAAAAATCAATAGATGAGCAGGTTTTAACATATGAGCAAATTAGGGACATCACGCCGGGATACATCGGACCATGTCTTTTAATGGAATTATTATATTTTGAATATTCATCTGGATTTCTTGTGGACACTTTACACTCTGTTTACCATGGCGCATGGGTAAGTTATTTTCAGTTAAACTTTTCTGTATTTCCTCCACATTTCACTTCAGTCTCATACCCACAACAGAGATAAAAGAATCGCTTCTACCCAAATTCCCTCGTATTTACTTATTTTAGAAACGCCTTCTTCGTTTATGGTTCGGTGAAGACTACAAAAAAAAGGAATGGTCATTATGGTCAAAAAGACAAACGATTGAAATCAATATGAAAAATTTTTATTACCCTACCACAACGATTAGACCTCCGCGATCATTAACACGCTACGAAAAATTCAAAGCGAATGAGTCGCGCTCCACTCTCTTCATCGTCTATCCAATGTTAAAAGATTTTCTACCACACAAATATTATCAACATGGCCATCTTTTAACAACAGCAATTACAATAGGTGAATCTCGTGAGATCACCAACGGACAGGTTTTATTAATGAGATATTTAATGGAAACATTCATCGATACATTCGAAGATATCTATGAATTAAGACATGTAGTTCAAACAGTACACTGTAACCTTCATTTGCCAAAATCGGTCATGGACTTTGGTCCGACGTGCGGCTATTCAACATTCAATTTTGAGAGTATACTCGGTATGTGATCGTATTTTATTATTTTTTTAAAGTATCAAAGAGTCTGCTAGTAAACTTTTATTTTTTCTCTCTTCTCTGTTACTAGGGAAAATTACATCAACCGTCCATGGATCCCGCTTACAACAAATGGAATTGTCCAACAATATCGATTTATTTAAAAGCACGTCTATTATTGCTAATTCACATTGTCAGCAATCAGTATTATCGGACTTTATCAATGAATTACAAGGATATACAACTTCATCATCTCAAACAGCATCGTCAAAACCAGTAAACTTAACTAACACAGATAAGATACTGTTTGATGCATTATATCAAAACAATTATATAATTTATTCAAAATTATCTTATTCCGATGTTCAATATTCGTCGTGGTCTGCCTCAAAGTCAAAGACTTTCACTGATTCATGTGTTCTATTTGCTAAAAATGACGATACATTATGTTACGGAATTATCAAGAATGTTATTTACTTAAAACGCCAGAAACAGTATCGTTTACAGATTACGGAATTACAAAATTTCTCATTTGACTATGTAAAAATTGAAAATGTTACTTACACAAATAAAAACATAATTTACGGTGAATTAAATGAAAACGATTTTCTTTATATCAAACCAGAACAATTAAAGGAAAAAGTTTGTTTTTATACGAATGAAAATGAGTGTTTTTTTGTTCGCCTACCAAATTTAGTTGAATCTTCTTAGCTTATCAATAATTTTATGTTTTGGTTTTTTATCTCACACAATAAATTTTCGTATATATTTACTTCGACGCAGACCCCGTAACAACTCCTGCGAGCTACTGCTTTTTACCTTCACAATAAAATCCTATAGATCTTGCAGGGTTTGCGTAATGAGATATCTTGTACATTACAAGTGATAACAGGAAGGAAAAAATTCCGCAGGGTATGCAGAGTGAAAAATGTGCGAGATATATCCAATGAACGCATGTAAAAGCTCCTGCAGGGTATGCCTGGAAAAGAATCCTCCAGGATCCTCCGCGAAAAAAACTTAAAAAGTGAGCTTGTTAAAGAATCCTGCCAATTATACTTACCAACTTGCAGCAAAAGTTTCGGCGAGGTAACGTGATGTAAAAACCTGCAGTATATATCTAACATTCACAGGATTTTTTGAGATTCCTGCGTGTTAGCGCAGGAATTCGTAAATTTTTTTTCAGTGGGTACCTGAAGCATTTTTACTCGAAAAAAACTTTCACAGGCACTTCACAGGTGGATAGACCAAATATTTCTCTATCTACTGATGTAAAAATCTTGTTAAAGCTCAATAAGGTTAATTAGTACTCATGAATTTCCAGAGAGCTCCCATCAGATGTCCAGAATTAGTCCATAATTACCCATTTGGGGTAGTTTTGGACAGTCAGTGTGTCCCGTTGAGGTAATTATGGACAGTCCAGTAAAAATGACTGGAAGAAAGTAAAACAACTTTTTCTCAACAAGAAAGTTTTATCTTTCTAATCAAATTATACCATCTTGCGGAGAGTTTTGAGCTTTATCTACCTTATAAATTGCTAGTCCTTTGGACATATCCTTGATTAATTAATTAGAAATTACGAAAATAAAAGAACATAATCGTTGTGTTAATTTTTCTTGTTTGGGGTATTTATGAACACTCAGCTATTTGATGGTAATTCGGAACAGTCCATGCAAATCGCACGCGATAGACAGAAAAAAACTTCCACGATCTTTTAGGAGCCGATTTTGAGCTCGTGCTAGACCAAGTTGAAAGTACATCTCTCAGGTTCTTCAGTTTTGAGTTGAGGAATACTTTCGTTTCTTGTGTGCCAGTCAAATATCAAAATACCTTGAAAAAGCTCATCCAACTCTATTCCATCATACTACCGTCTCGTCCTCCAGTAAAATCAATGTGCCTAAATTAAAAGCACTAACCAAACAGTTCGCCATTAATCTCCTAACAAATGCAAAATGGTGTAATTATTCGATGACGGTTCATGGACTTATCTTTCATTCACCCGAACTCAGCGAAAGAAACAACGACGTTGGCTTGGGCCAACTATCCGAAGAAGCGTTAGAGGCCGCGAATAAGAGTGTACGAAATTGTCGTGAATTTATGGCTAGGAAAATGACACACATACAAAACTTGACTGACGTGTTCAACAATCTCTTCATCAGGTCTGCTCCACTTATACACTACATGGTGGATAAGAGACAATCAGCAAGAAATTCAACAGAAAAACCGACATGTCTGAATGAGGACGACGCAATTTTAGAAACAATCATTTTGGACTAGAACAACTGACGGAGTATGCGCTCGTATAAAAGTGGGAATGTGCTCGAAGCAAATTGGTAATGCGCTTGTAAAAAATATCTTCCAAATTTTCAGAAATCTTCCAGAAAACTTCGAAATGTATTCCTACCATCAGCAGCAGCTTCTCCAGTTAACAAAACCTACGAATGATAGTTTTTCCAAGAAAGGTTTTCTAGAAACTTCCAGAATTTTTCAACAAACCTTCCATATGGTATTCCTGACTTCAGCATAAGAAACAGCAAGTACTGAAACCTATTTGCGCAAATTTTCAGCTCATTACAGTGAATGTTTCTCAAGTTATAGCTAATGCTTGCCTGCTATGCGAAAAATGCACACTGTGCGTCTATTATAAACGGCCAGTGAATGGCAAACCTAGATAGCATCCAGTTAATTATGTGGTTAATCGACTATTTTTTAAAAAATTAATATAGAGAAAGCTCAAATCAAACACAATCGTAGAAAAGAAACGGCCTAAGAACTGTCAATTTACCGTCGCTTAATTGCCTAAAAATTCTATGATTTATTTTTCCAAAATGTAAAACTGACTAATGAACGATACTGGTGTTAGGTGGGTTTTACGCATTTGATCAACTGTAAACTGACTGTTTTCACCCAGACTGTAAATCGGCTGTTAATGCGTCGTTTATTAACTTTCTCCTGGTTAATTTTCATTTGATCGGATAAGTGGTAAACTTAAGTGTAACATACCTGCAGTTGTCGCTGCTGCTTCGGTTCCCAATCCATTAACTTTAACAAATGCTTTATGTATTACTTTACTTATCTGTAAATTTTCTTCGTTACTTATGCCACTAAAATTAGCTTTATTATTGAATGCATCATGCATGCCTAACTTTTGTAATACATCATTTAACACGAATCGATATTCGATTTTAAATTTTGGTAACCATAACTTAATGTGTCCAGTATGTCAAAGTTTCGTGTAGATTTCTTTCATCTGATTGGAAGCATATAGTTTTGATTCAAGATCTGAGAGTTTTACATTGTGATTTGGCAAAATGACAGTAAAGACGAATTGACTATTTCCAAGCCTTTTGTACGAAATGTTCAAGGTTCTGGCATTGAGTTCATTCGTAGCATCGTAATAAAAACTGGCATCTTTTGCATACATCAAAGTAAAATTTGATATTTCTGTACCATCATCAGTATGAAATATGTTGTGTGTGTTTGTATTACGTTCATCGAAAGCATTCACCCATTGACCTATTGAAGATAGAACAGAAGTCCACGATTAATCTAATAATTTAACCCGTCAGATAAAATTTTGAGTTTTTAATTCTCTATACGAAAACTTGAAAAGACCTTAAGAGTAAGTTCCTGAGAAAGTTGAACAGGCTAGTTTAGAAGATACATCAGACTTGGCTGGTTTGTACATACGGATGTAGAAGTGGACTGAGTATAACCTCAAAATCTCAGCTCTTCTTTATATTTCCTGTACTTTCCAAGTTCACAAGTAGGTATGCACCGGTATCGCACAGTGGGCATTTTTTGCTAGAGCAGGCGGACTTTAGCTTTATGAGTGAACTAAAATTTCATGAACCATTTTTTTATAGGTTTTTCATGATCCTCTTTCTAATGCCATGAGAGTTGGGTTTTG